CGACTCGTTCCCAAACACACATTTCTATATGCCCTTTCTTTTGTTCACGGTGTATTTCAATCGTGAGAGGGCCCGTCTCACCGGCATATTCCATTCCATATTTCTAGAAGGATAACGACAACTGGCCCTTCATTCCCTATTTGTTTCCCCAAATGGAGTTTTGGATACTTACGACACGCCTATTCCTACGTTAACCGCCTATCATTTCTCCCGTTTCCTCCCCATGTCCATTGATTTGACTTTGCAAAGCGCTGCTGCTGTTATTCTTTCATATCTGTACAATGCGCTCCCATTTACTGCCCATTTGAATTCCACCAATACCCCTGTTTCTTATCTTGAAAATCCACATACACATGTTTAATGTTGTTTCCTTTACTGCATCCCCATTCAAACTATGGCGTCAGGGTATGGAGTGGAGGCGCTGAAACCATTAGAATAGCAGGTGCTCTGATCGGCGTGTGTACTATTATTACTCGATCATTACTACTATAGATGCTAATACGATCGACATCTTGAACAGTCCTGCGCCATGGTAACTAGAGTGAGCCGTGACAAGTCATACTATCAGGCCACAAGTATCTGAAATAGACTGCTTGCCCCCTTCATCTCAAGCAGGCGACATGCCCTTTCCGCGATGGGCCAAGCCATATGCCGAGGAGCGTAGTTAGTATAAATAAAAGAGAAAACGTCGTATTCGGTCCTGTAGAGGGATTTAATCCATTCAAACTGTCAGGTCTATATAAACCTCGCCGTCTACTAGGTCACTGTATGCTTGGGGGTCCACCTGGATGACTTAATTATACATCCTGCAAACTCTGAGCAGCTCAGCCCATATGGCTTAGTTGGTAAAGCGCGTCACTAGTAATGACGAGATCCACGGTTCGAATCCGTGTGTGGGCATTTCTTTTTGCTCTTTTTTTTATTTGTGTCATATTTTTTTATTCATTTATTTTTCATGGGCTGGATAGACCGGTTGCTGTGTTTGTTCCGTTATATATTATTATTTAACTAAACGGTAAGGCCTAATGTTCGTGGCTTATGGCGTGGTGTTTGCCCGGATACATGTCCGTGACGACGAAAGTTGATCAAGAGATGTTATTTACTGCTCTGACTGTCGGAGCTTGTGTAGCTGCCTAGGTATAATTACGAAGTATATCGCGATATATAATCAATGTGCTACTCCGCTAGCCTATTCAACAGGTTAGACGTCAAGACGCAGAGTGGGCTGGTCTAAAGTAGGTATAACTTACCTGTAGCTAACCATGGTGTCAACCCGATGGTTGCTCGTGCTGAAACTACGTAACTGCACTTTCTCTCCATTTTCAATCTCTTTGGCGTCGCTGTCACCCCATTCCAGAGGCACTTCAGAGTCGGCATCCGCGTAGACGAGCACGTTAAACGTACAGTTCCCGTCAAGCATTGGTAGAAAGGTGACTGAGGCCGTGATTTGACGGAATATTGCCTGAATCTCGTCCTGTATCTCTTTCTCAGACTTTTCAACCGGCGCAGGGCTGCTGGCTTGTGCCCTATAACAGCAGGTCAGTGGATAGATTCCCCAAGCTGAAAGCTCTCACGTCGTGAGGGGTAAAGGTGAAAATTACCCCGGGTTGGCGTTTTCATTATCAGCTGCAGCTTTAGCAGCCTTGTTCTTTGACTGCTTGAATATTTCGACCTTAGGTGACATCTCTCGTTAGCATCGTAAACAGAGGTCTAGCCCCACAGGGCATCCAGTTGCTCACATCAAACTGCCATCTCTCAACGTGCTCTCCGGTGTCCTTGTCCGTAATGACAATAACCAGCTTGGATATCTTGCCTCCCAGCATCCACTTATTCAATTGTGACATTATCTTCTTTATATATGCCTTGACCTGGTCATCTGCCGAAACTGTTGTGCACAAACGACGGGATTAGTCCATGTACGGGAAACCGGTGCAGAGGAGGAAGGGCTTGCGAACCGAGCATGTTGAGGCCATATTTCTTAACTCTAGGGTCTTGTTAGCCAGTCCAAACGAGTATTATGCCAAAAAAAAGCCAGTCCTACTCACGCTGTAAAGTCGTCTGCTGGGTATACACCGCGTTGGAAACTGGTGGACAACACCCTATCAGCCACGGAAACGGCATGCGGGGAGAGGTGTAGACACACAGTATAGAGTGAATGGAGTATTCAAACTGCACAGCTCAAGCCAATAGTCAGTAACCGGCAGCAAAGGGGCGTAACAGGGCCGAGTCTCACGTACAAATTCCGAGACCAGCTTCGCAGAGCCTGGAGGGTGGCAGAGGCCGTTAGAGCTTCATCCGCAAGCCATCTCGAGTACCTGGCCAGTGTTACCTTTCAAAGACAACTTGTGAACTTTCGACTTCTCCTTTTCCGGGGCCATCTTGGAGTAGAACGAGGAGTGTGAGGCGTTGTTCTTGTCTGTTGTTGCGCTGCGTGCTTCCTAAGCGGAGGTTGTTTGTTGACGTTGGTTGATGCCGTCGAGATGCCGATAGCCACTTAACCACTTACCTAGTTACAACTACAATAACTAGTTGACCACCACCAGCTACAGCACACAAGCCCAGACAAGACCATAGACTAAGAGAATTGGTTACAGAGATCTATATCAGTTATATTCACCGCTGTGATCGATGTCCAGCTACAAGGTGAGTTAACTAGTTAGCTACGTGGACCATATCCTGGTTGCAAGTACTCTGCTAACCGCAGCTTTACACCCAGCCCAGCACCAGGACAGCCACGAAGCCAGCTAAAGGCATCCATTTCTCCCTCCCTTGCGCTCTATTTCTCCTCTTAACGACGTCCTTGCGGCTAATCCGGGGTCTATTTAGTTTGCATTCTGGAAAACGGCCATCGGCAGCGGAAAATCTAAGCTCCAGGCAGGTACAAAAATTGTATGGAGATGGAGCTGGGAAAGAAATTGAACATACCGCGACCAAAGACAATTCCTGGAACGCAGATACATCTTCAATGCGGATAGGATTCCGATGCGAGGATGTCTGCAACCGGCCAGATGGCTGACCACAGCCACCATGCGGCGGCCACCGCTCACCTGCCAGCGATTTGCATTACCTACCCCCAGGTATAAACCATCGCCGTTTCCACGCCTGTTCCACCATGCGCCAGTGTTCCAGGCTCGCCAGTCGAATAGACCTCTTTCGCCTGTGGAGGAACGGATAGATGCCATCCCAATTGAACGATACCGCAATTTCTGCATCGTTGCCCACGTTGACCATGGCAAAAGCACCCTTTCAGACCGACTGCTGGAGCTGACGGGCACTATCAAACCTGGAGAGAACAAACAAGTGCTAGACAAGCTGGACGTTGAGCGTGAGAGAGGAATTACGGTCAAGGCGCAGACATGCACGATGCTATACAACTACAAAGGAGAAGACTACCTGCTCCATCTCATCGATACCCCCGGGCATGTCGATTTTCGAACAGAAGTCTCGCGGAGTTATGCCAGCTGCGGTGGAGCATTGCTGCTTGTTGATGCAAGTCAGGGAGTCCAGGCCCAGACAGTAGCCAATTTCTACCTTGCATTCGCTCAGGGGTTGACATTGGTACCGGTAATCAATAAGGTCGACCTCCCATCCGCCGATCCAGACCGTGCCTTGGAGCAAATGAGAACCTCATTTGAACTGGACGTGGACAAGGCTGTTAGAGTGTCTGCAAAAACTGGATTGAATGTTCAGGAACTCTTGCCTACTATAGTCGAGAATATCCCTGCGTAAGTTCTAATCCATTGGTGTATATTACAACCAGAATCTTTGACTAACGGCGTCTCTGCTAGCCCGGTAGGTGATGCTACGAAGCCCCCTAGGCTGCTCCTGGTTGATTCTTGGTATTCAAGCTATAAAGGAGTGATCATCCTTACCAGGGTGTTCGATGGAGAGGTCAAGGCTGGCGACCAGCTTGTCTCTTTTGCTACTGGCCTCAAATACACTGTTGGTGAGGTTGGAATCATGTACCCAAATCAAACTCCACAAACTGTCCTAAGAGCCGGGCAGGTAGGCTATATCTATTTTAATCCCGGCATGAAGCGAAGCCAGGAGGCCAAGATTGGTGACACGTTCACAAGGGTCGGTTGCGAGACCCAGGTCGAACCACTGCCAGGATTTGAGGAACCCAAGTCCATGGTGTTCGTTGCGGCTTACCCGGTTGACTCTAACGACTTCCACCACCTCGAAGAGAGTATCAACCAGCTGCTGTTGAACGACAGGAGTGTGACCATGCAAAAGGAATCATCTGAAGCTCTTGGTGCAGGCTTCCGCCTGGGATTCCTCGGGACACTACACTGCTCCGTCTTCGAAGACCGCCTTCGTCAGGAACACGGTGCGAGCATCATCCTCACACCACCAACAGTGCCATGCAAAGTGATATGGAAAGACGGGAAGGAGACAATCTTCTCAAACCCCAGCCACTTCCCTGATGAGGATACTCTTCGCGTCAAGGTCGCTGAACTCCAGGAGCCATATGTCCTGGCAACGATAACGTTCCCTGAAGAATATCTCGGTCGTGTTATGGAGCTATGTGAGGCCAACCGTGGTGAACAGGTCAGCATGGAATTCTTCACCGCCACCCAGGTTATCCTCAAGTATCAGCTCCCACTCGCACAACTGGTCGATGACTTCTTCAGCAAACTCAAAGGTTCAACCAAGGGTTACGCCAGCATAGACTACGAGGAGTCTGAGTGGAGGAAAAGCAACGTTGTCAAGCTTCAACTGCTTGTCAACAAGACACCAGTCGATGCTGTCTCGCGCATCGTCCACTCAAGCCAAGCCAACAGACTGGGTCGTCAGTGGGTGACGAAATTCAAAGAACATGTAGAGCGACAGATGTTCGAAGTCATTATTCAGGCTGCCGTTGGGCGTAATGTCCTAGCCAGAGAGACCATCAAACCGTATAGGAAAGACGTCTTAGCAAAACTTCATGCCAGTGATATCACACGGCGGAAGAAACTATTGGAGAAGCAGAAAGAAGGAAGAAAGCGCCTGAAGGCTGTTGGCAACGTCGTTATTGATCATAAAGCCTTCCAGGCCTTTCTTGCGAAGTAGGAAGAGTGTGTAGTTATGCTATTTGGAGCGGATATCATGCTTTTTTTTTGGAAACCTGTAAGATATATAGACTTGTACTATTTTGATAATAATATCACATATCCCTCTTCACAAGCTTACGCCTGCCGATAAAGAGAAGTGGTGATAATTTATAATCTTGAAAACGCTTTCCACTTGATACTACGCTGTAGTGTAAACTATCCTCTGGGTTAAGATAGTAGAAGCTTTACGGGCTCAAGCTGATTCAATTCCACCAACCTGATTCTTTATATCACTATTTTTAATCTCTTCTTTTGAACTGTATCCAGAGTTTGTCCTTTTTCAGATCCCCGCTTAGAAACCCTCTGTCACCGGGATATTGGCTTTCATCGAATACCATAGTCCTATAGTTAGTGTACACAGCCGCTACGGCATTTCGTATCACTGGGGGGTGGTCAATGACGGGGCCTATCGTATGGCAAACAGGGGGGTTAGGGCAAGGCTTACATTCCACAGCAAGGTGCTGGCCGATACATGTCCTGCTGCCACCACTAAAGGCAAGGAAGACTCGTCTTTTCCTCCCCGTAGACTGGCCCTGGCAGTCTTTGATGAGCCAGCGGTAAGGATCCCATACGAGAGGGTCATCGAAGTATTCACTGCTACGGTGAATTAAGTGTATATAAGCGCCAACACGGATGCCAGGAGGTAAATTTTTGTATGGACCAACGTCTGAAAGGCAGTGTTTAGGTGTGACTCGAGGGTCCATCCCTGGAGGAGTGTTCCGTAACCTGAGCCCTTCCTGGATAATTGCGTTTAAAAATGGTAGACGCTGCAGGTCTCTTGCTGGCGGTAGCTCATATAGGGACGGCTCTTGGTCGAGATCCAAGTGGAACGGGCTTGCTATGGAGAGAAGCTCTCGATGAAGTTCATCCTGATGGGCAGGGTGACGAGAAAGCTGGTAGAGGAGGTAGGTCAATACCAAGGCTAAAATATAGAAGTGAGCATTTTATGTTGGAGAAAGGTCTCTTGCATGGTATTTGCATACCATTGACATCTGCTGTAGGCCCTGCATGCAAAATTTTATCCAATTAGTGTACAAGCAAAAGTGGTATGAATGCAATCGGATTGTATCATACCTATTTGATCGAGGCATTCGCTGGCTAGCTCCCGGAATTGTACATCACTTGGGGTGAAAGTCTCCTCAACGCCGGCCTCTCGTGCAATGCTACTCCTAAGGGCACTGTAGAGCACAGGGAGGTCTCCTGGCGCCCAAGGCTCACCCAGAGCATAGTGTGATTGCAATCTGGATTCAGCCAGCTTCACGTTCTGGCTTGTCCAGTCCTCACTATGCTTCCGCAGGTTTGAAAGGTCATTTGGAAGCAAACGTATTCCGAAGGCTGTTAATGCCCTGGTGATCCATTTGAATTCACCTAATAAGGTCGGGGCATTGGACATGAAGATGGTGTAATACAGAGTAAGCCACTTCTCCCTATCCTCTGCATCTTCAAGGAGCCTATGGCCCCCTGAAAGCCCAAACACAAAGGCAGACATGAAGTCGATTGAATATGAATAGCATAGTGGGAGTATGTTCACGCTCCCGGAACCAGTCTGTGATGCCTGTCCAAGTAATGGAATCAATCGCTCCAACAACACTGCCTTGAAGATGGCCCGTGTATGAGAAGACTGGACGTAAGCCCTGGTCAGCACCGCTGCCATCCGACCTCTGATATGGCTATGTTGTTTGGCCTCCAGCGCAGAAAAGAGAGCGCGGGTTCTATAGATAAGTCAGCTTGTTGCCCTTCCTTCTTCCTTGTATCACTGCCTGGTTGTGTCTAGGATTTCTCTACTTAAAGTGCGCAAAATAGTTATAGACAGATGCTTTGTCGAAGTTTCTCTTCCCAATTCCATAGGCGCTGTCGAACCCTTCTTTGCAGTTGGTGGCGATCTCAGCCGGACCAAGGCGGATATATGGGCCGCATCTTTCAAAAGCTGTTTGTATAGTTTTGTAGGAGGTGCCGTGCCATCTGTGCCATTTGATCCAAACTCCAGTAATAGGAGCAAGGGGATGTGCGGCAGGGACTTTGGACAATGGCGATAAAAACACCGGGTAGATTATACATCTAAAGATGAGGAGCAAGATGACCGAAATAATAGCCAGTCTGGGCCATTCAGTAAATAATTCTGTAGCACTTAACATTATGATATCCACTAGAAAATGCCTTGAAGGGTGAGATATCTCAGTCGCACTCTTGGTTATCTTTTACCCTCGCCTGAGACAACAAGATGGCCTCTGAGTAAATCATAAAGGGTGCTGAGAGCTGTCTTCTAACACCGGAGGCCGGGTTAAGTACCAGCTTGATAACAAAGAGTGGACATTGGGTAATTGACATTAGGTATGAAAAGTCCAAGGAGACACCCTTATCCCTCCCAATATGGGTATAAACGACACGTACGACAGGGAGGGAGTAATACACTGGCCCGCTTGCCATTGCAACAGCTGCAACAGACGTATGATCCGCCAGGTATAAGGAAACCCCTTGAGGGTTCCACCAAATTATATCGAATAGCGGCCACTCAGCCCCCAGTGTGACTCCAGAATATAGGGAGATATACGGCTTCACAAGTCTCATCTCACGACGGAACAGGTGGCCATAACGGCCCAAGGTACACCGTGTCAAGAATGCAGGATCTTATAGAGGATAACTGTAGATTCGGTCTTCCTTGCAGTCATATTTCTGTTCCCATCGCGAACCGCGAAGAGCAGCGAACTGCTCTCGCCTATGCCGTCTCACCTCAAGTCGGCCCTTTTAATCGCTGCTTTCAGAATAAGGGACACCCTCCTATCGAGGCCTCCACCGGCTGGAGTTGTGCAAAAAGAAGACCAAATTTGGGTATCAAGATGCCCCCGGGGAGCAAAAGATGAGCTCCCCGGGGGCTGCCACAGTGTATCAACGGCAAGGCAGCAAAGGGTAAGTCGACCGCAAGCGAGGATAAGACCAGCCGTCTTCCACAACTGAGAGCTGTCTCCCTTATTATTTCTTTTTGGTCATGAGCTGACTCGGCCTGGACAAGCAGCACATAGTGGCTAATTAATGCAGAGGCCGACGGTATTGTATGGCCTCATCATAGCTGTCTATGATTGAGCAACTAGTACTCCGTAGTTGGGGTGTGTTAGCTATTAGTTATATCTAGCGTCTGAAGATGGTCGCTGGGTTTTAGTTGGAGATGGTAGTTGGTTAACTTAACTAACCCCTGAGAGTAAGTTAACTAACTAGGTTGGATGATCTGGCTAACCGATGCCCTAACAACCCCTATTCAACTCCTGCAGCCGCGCAAGACGATGAAGGCCTTCTGACCAGCCGGTTACGAGAATCTCGCTATATTGTCACTTCTGTTATTTTTTGGATACAAGAATCAGCACAACGGGCCATGAGAAGGCTCGCTGGGCTTGAGCACCGCCCATCCTCGTCGCCAACTCCGCCCATGTCTCCCCCATCGCCTCCCTCTCCATGTCTCTGAAGGGACACATGTGGTACACAAACTTGCGAAGCTGGCTGACGTCCCAGTCCTTGCGCCAGAAATTTCTGTCCTCGACCTCGATGACCTTCTCCTTCTCCCCTACGCAGCTCGTCGGCTCCACCTTGAAGTCGCATGCGCCCTGCGTGAAGAAGCCCATGTCCGTCCAGCTCCTGTTCCACTTCCACCGCTCGACGGAGTGCCATTCAGCCTCTGCGAACGGGACGTTGTCCAGCCAGCTTGCTATCTGGTCCGCTACGGGCTTCCACTTAGCCGAGTGCTCTGGCCCGTTGCCCTGGATCTCTCGGCCGTAGTGGTGGTTGATGATCCGGTCCAGCAGCGGCTGGCAGGTCTGCGCATACTCGGGCTCTGAGAAGTGTACCCGGCTGTAGAACCAGATGGCGAGTGTCCCGTTGGGCTTGAGCAGGGACTGGAAGCTCGTCAGGGCCGCATTGCAGTCCATCAGCGGGAACATCAGCGGGCAGACGACCAGGTCGGCGGACGCAGGCGGGAAATTGGCTCCCAGCTCTTCGCCTGTTGAGACGGAGTACGTGAACTGTGACGGAGACAGGCCTTCTTGTGCTGAGAGGTAGTGGCTGGCATACTCGAGATAGTTCTCGCTGGGGTCGCTCACAACAACATGGGAGAACTTGCGGGCGAGCTGGACTGATACCTGGCCCGGCCCGGCGCCTACGTCGTGGGCGGTTGAGAACGAGGCTGGCGATGACCCAGCATGGGCGGCGTGGTACTCGTAGATGCGGTTGTAGAACTTATCCCCGTACACTGGGCGTGTGGACAGGTACCCTTCCCAGTAGCCCGGGTTGTTCTCCTTCAGGCCCCATACGCTCTCACTGCTGGTCCCTCGGTCACTGCTGGCTTTCGCAGAAGAGAATCTGACGCTTTGCTGCGCCCCGATTAGCCGCGGTTTTGGGCTGAGCAAGCTGGAGAAAGGAGGTGAGCAGCGAAGCCTGGCAGCTCGGGGCCCTAGCAGCAACGACATTATAACTATTCAATGACTGCCTGTCTTTGGACTGAAAACGGGGGTGGGGGATAAACAGAGCGACGGGATGAGAGTCACACTCGGTGAAATCTCAGGACAGACGGCGTTTGCTTATATATAATTACCTTTGGTGCGTCATCAACCTGCATAGTGGTCATCATATGTGTTCCATGCCAGGATTTCTGAGGCCCCAGCCTGTGAGGGAGACTCGCTGTGGCGTTCCCCAGGTAGTCTATCAAAGCCCACGGACGCCCGCTGGGTAGATATTTGGCTGGTTGAAGAACGCCTCCAAAGTGAAAATACCAGAAGCCATAGTCATGGAGTGCAGAGTATAGAGAGAGAAATGAATTGAATGAACTGTCCTACAATGATTTAAGGAGAACATCAGTACTTCGCCCTTTGAGATGCTGGATAGTTAACTATGGAGTACCGCCGGCCACATGCAGCTTCATGATGGTAGTCTGTCAGCCAGTGGCCAGTTGTGATACCATTGCAGAGATACACAAAAGCAAGGGTGAAATGGAACATTCGGCACTCACCTTGCTAGACTGCATAATATCGAGGATCGTGCCCAAACACCATGCACGGTGTCTCCTCTCACAAACTAGCTAGTCGATCACACCGCGCTCTGTTGTATTTGCCCAGCTGCTAGACCAGGAATGCACCCCGTCAAAGTCACGACAGGTCCGTATCATGTTCCAACCGTCCGAGTTCCCATTCTTGTCGATTGCTTCGAGGTTGGTGTCTGCCGCACACATGATGGCCTGCCGCAGGTAGTCGGCACAGTGGCCCATATGGCTGGGACTCACCAGCGTTGTCTGGCCGAGAAAGGGGTCGGGAGGGCGGCCTTCTTTGGCAGCCTGGTTCCGGTCAAGGAGGATATGGTAGGCCATCCATATCGTGTGCTAGGGGTCTTTTGTCAGCTTGAAGCTACTAACTAGTAGCTATTGATCGAAGGGCCTGGAAAGCCACGGACCAGACAGTGCAGCTCGTGGAAGACGGCTACCAGGGAAGTATAGGGGGCCAGCTCGGGATGATGCACAAAACCGCGTCCCACTGTGCTCACACTTGTCAGAATCCGTCCACTGTAGAGCTAAAGGGGCAGCCAAGGGGAACTCTTACTCGGCATCAGGCTGTTCCATGCTTCCTCTGACTCCTTGGTGGGAATCTGCGTGAATGTGTGGTTGCGATGCCATGGCCCCTGAACTGTGCCTGAGGGGACTGCCAATAGTTAATAGATGAGTAACTATCAGCATGGCCACTAGGCCAATATTCGACTGAGAGGTAGGTGTATTCCTCACCTAGATATCCGTCCAGGCCGATGTGTCGAGAGGAGGGCCAGCTGGTCCCAATGAACAGGCCCAGGGCGAGCGCAATGACCGATATCACGGCCGTGTAGACAGTGATCTCCATCACTCGTCTTGCTCCCCAGCGTCTCTGACTCTGGATAAGCTCTGGGTATATATCTTCGGCTTCATCTGAAACGAGTCGCTCATACTCTCTCCCTTTCTTTTTCTCTGCGGTAATCATCTTTGCAGTCGTGTGTTCGTGAAGTTATATTGCATAGTTCAACCCTCGCTTCTCGAGAGCACGACCTGGCAGCCCTGCTATATAGAGCTTCTCCCCTATTGAGGTCTATATCCGTCGCGGACTCCATCCAAGTAGATTTCGTCCGGCCCATGGTTCGCCATGCGAGACGTTGGCCAGTTGCAGAACTGTGGAATCCGCTGGCCGGTGGAAAGCCAGTCAGAATCCCAGAGCTTGTTATTTAGTGAGGCGTTAGCTCCGCGAGCAAAAGGCTTGATAGACCGTGAAGATAACAAGCCAGCGGCCTACTGGATGCTTGTTGTCCTCGCTTTGTTCTACTGTGGCCTCTGGGATACCAATAGCTTGTGAGTGGAAGCACTCGTACGGAGTATGTTCGTAACTATAACTAGATAGCCGCTTTCGTCTTGGTATCCGTCAAGCAGAAAATGAACAAACCGCCCCAGCTGATGACGACGACGTCAGAGCTAGTTAATGTGTTTATTCAGTACAGCCCGTGGTGGATCAAAGAGAGGGAAAGTCATCACTAGTTGTATGTATATAATATATATAGAAAATATTAGATGGCTAGTTAAGGGCCAAAAGTTCTACGTCTGTGGAATGGAGGTACTATCTGGTTACACTTCAATAGAAGACCACAGGAAGTAACATGCTTAATACAACTTCCAGCCAGCGTCTATAATATCGTCTAGCACCGAAGCGATAGCGACAGACTCATCACCAGAGCAAAACATGCCGCAAACATCTCCGCCGGAGTCTGCTGTCCGTGACATTTCCTTAACTATAGGGGCACCCATTATGCCCTCAGACAGTCGCCCTCCCACGGGCCTAAAGGTGCTGTATAATTTCTCGGCCAGATAGGAACATTCCCCGGGATATCCGCCCTTCCCATGGATGTTAGAGATACGCAGGCCTTGACAGTGAAGGAAAACAAGGCCGGTCGACATCCCATCGCACGAACACCAGGTGCCGTTGGGGACATTATCTGACCTAACCAACCATTTGGGCGAAGCGGCTTGAAAATACCCGCTTTTTGAGAAACGCAGTGATGAGGCCAAGTCAACCATGGCAATGCTTAGTCTCGGCCATCGCTCGACAACTGTTCCAATCTTGGACCCATTCGTGGTGTCAGGGTGGTATATGTCTTGACAGTCTTGTGCCTGACTTGCAATGGTGACAGCCAGGCGGCCGGTCGAATGACGCAGCCGTACACCACAGCTCGTACCAAGTTCAGGCATCGAAGGCGTGGCGGAGGAGTCAGGATGACCTGCGGCGATGCGAACTCCGGGCCGCAGAACCCCTGGCCCCTCACGCAGATAGTCCGTCCGGTCCTGCAAAGGAGATATCACTGCGGAGAGTCGAGGGTCGACGCGCCGTATTAACTCAAGATTCTGGGGTTCATCCCAGAACCTGTCGGCTGAATGATGATATGTCGTAGTTTTTCCCGCAACGCGGCCAGGCAGCGAGTGTCTCTTGTAGGATCTGCCATCGTTAGTGTGTAACTCAATAAAACAGTAGAGTCCGAACCAGTTTATAGCCTTGACATTACACAGCCCAGCCAGGGATTTGAGTATGAGATCTGTCTCTCTCCTCGTAGGCGCCATCCACCTCTTCACCAGAACTGGAGATGGATCTGGTACCCGGGGTGATGCATAGGCCGTGTTCACATTAAAGCCGGTGCAGAGAGGCGCATCTGGGACAAACAACGCTGCAATGCCGGCAATGGTGAGAGTTAGAGGCCCTGGAGGTGTATCAGTAATGACTATGATCAGAGGATACTCAAAGCCTACCTCCTTTGCGTGATAGTGACAGAGAACCCATAGCTGCTGCTCTCGCCTCAGATGTTTGGACTCAGTCGTTTCTTCACACCATAGCGAGAAGTCAGCCACGTCGTTTATGTGCTGAGAGCCGTAGGTGGGCATAAGTGTCTTCCACTGGGGCGAGACTGGCATCGCCGCCCCGTTACGTACTGGCCCAGCATTTTCCTCGTTTGGTATATGGGTATATCTCTCATAGTCAACGTACGGCAGCTGTGCGCGCATGGCCGTGATGCCGGGAGATGCTCGCACAGCTGTCATATTGGAGCTCTATCAAAACGACTGGGACAAAAGAATAAGGCCTAACTAGATGGCCAGCAGGTTGAAGCTATCTATCTGACAAGCTTCAGTGGACGAGTAGTAGTAGATGTTTCTTCTATGGATAGCCTGAAGCCGTCTTCTATATGGCAAAATATTTCATGTTTAACGGCGTCATAGTTGAGCGGCAACTCGATGACGTTCACCCCATGAGTTTCTTTGCTATTGCGGAAGTTTAGCTGGGATGTTCGTTCTGCGTTTAATTCGATCAGTTTAAATACTCCTAGTCACGAGCTAGACAGTGAATAATGAACAGTGAGTAAGATCTCAGTGATTTTCAGCGAGGTGGAAGAAAAGTTGAGTTAGATATATACAGTGAATGTTCTATGATAAGGAACTTAACTATACATCATACGGCGGGTAACTAAGGTGTCCAGGGACCACTCAAAGTCACTCAAGGCATAGAACCAACCCCGAACCAGTGGCAGAAGAAGTTGTTTGGATCTTCCCTGGCTTTGATATCCCGTAGTCGAGTGAGATTTGAGCCGTATATCTCTGCCGGATCCTCATCACCATGGGCAAAATTAATGTACCTAAACAGAGAGTATATTCATCAGTCATTATTAACCAGAAGCAAAGAGGGATTGAAGACACACATAGCGGGGGCCTTGAGGCCATCAGTGGACTGTAGTAGACGTCGAATACGCCGGCCTAGCGACAGGGCCTCCTCTTCCAGCTTCTTGTCGGTAAACCAAGGAATCACAATCGCGTTGATAGCGATGTTGCTTCGCCATGGGAACGAGGATGAATGATCAGGGACAGCTCGGACCTTGTCCAGGCAATACGCCTCCATCAAGACCACGCTGCTGCCAGTGCCGCTCAGAGCAGCCCACGACACAAACTCGTCCCAGACCTTTATCCAAGTTTCGGGCACGATGGAAGAAAGGCCAACGCCAAACGAAGGTTTGTAGCCGCCACGGATGCAGAAGGCCGCAGCTTTGTCATTCCATCTGGTGTAATGCAGCACTCCGGTGGTATCGGCTATGGGGCCAATGTCAATCACGGAGGCAAAGGCTGCGCGCCCTTCGGCTTCGGTGCCGTAATACCAAGGTGCAACAGCCACCAGTGGACTGTAGTCCGGGGCCCCAGATGTAAGGAAGTAGAAGAATACGCTCATCTTCGGCGTCAAGGTGAGTTCGCTGACTGCTCTGAGAACGGGCTCGACCTTGTCTGCTGGATAAACAAGGGCACCGAGCCAGGCGTACTGGCCCGAGGCCTCGACCGGATACGCCTTCATCACGACCGAAGTGACTATCCCAAGGTTGGGAGCAGCGCCACGGAGGCCCCAGAAGAGATCAGGATCACTCTCAGCAGTGACAG